TCCCCATGGTTTGGTCGTGTTTGGTATTGCTTTAATTAACATCCACAGCCCCTTTCCGCCTGCGCTTGCTTCAACTTTGCCTCATGCTTCTCTCGCGCCTCCTGGTTTCATGGAGGGGTCTGGAGGAGAACATCACTGGGAGGATGCTTGAAAACGACAACAATCAAGATTCATCATTGTATGTCATTTATATTCATTCACCATGTTTTCATGAATTTGGTGACTCTTCAAATACATGTTTTTTCTATGTTTCTCTTAGTTGCTTCAAACACCACTGCATTATCAAAGCAGAAGGGGTTTGGGGTGTTTCCCATGAAAACATAATCTGTTAACCGCTTAATTACTTCCAGAAACCAATTTCTGATCATATTTCTGGAAATTCAGTTTTATGCCACCCAAAACTTGAATCAAATCGTGCTCCAACCCATCTGAGGGCAATCAGGGGAAGCCGTATGAAACGGCAAGGTGGCAATGCCTCGGAATCCGACACACATATGTGGTATATATAATATATATATATATTTAGATTTGTACACCTAGTCACCTAGTGCTGTTGGTTACATCCCCATCTTTTGGTGGCTACCAGGATATGAATGGAATAGCACATATTAACGAACACCAAAAAGGGTATGTTTTAGGTTTAGTACTGAAACTAATCAAACCACTTCGGTCGCCAAGTACAGCAGTCAGTGCCCCATTGTGGGTTGCCTTGCATGTTTTTCCCATCCGACTTGTAACTTTGTCCATGACACATAAGTCGAATATTAATGAGGATAGTGTGTAGTTACTCCTGAACCTGATTCGATAGTTTTTTTTACGCTTCCTGCAACACCAACATACCAACCACCCCATGGAGCTCGCAACGGAGCCTCTGCAGGATCTTTCGCCTCTCCCTGCGCAGAAACTGGGTACAGTATCTACCTGCAGTCCTGAACGACCTGAAGCAACTATATATAGAAAATTTATGGAATTTTCGTCGGATGTCTCCAGCAAGCGCCCTGATGACAGAATGGCTTTAGATGGTTTTAGCAGTGCACCAACCATTCACCAGGCCTGAAAGAGCGAACTGATCATCAAGGACCAGTCACCTGGCGGGAAGCAACTGATGAAACACCTGCAAAGGTGTGCAAAAACCGCTAGACGTCCTAAAGATCCAAAGATTGGCGTTCGAAGCCATTGACCTGGTCAAAAACAATCAGAGGCGTTCAAAGCCTTTCAAACCCATCCTGAACGAACAACATTATTTTAACTCAGCTGTGCCCAATCAAACTCGAGTCCATTCAAATGATATCGAAACCCGTTCACAACGCTTTCAGAATGAGTACATCCTGTTTGCGAATGCAACAAACTGTTGCCCTTTGTTTCAAAGTTGTCCTAGCCGGACCTTTCAGTTTTGTGCTACGTAGAAGTTACGAGAAATAAGCTCCGGCAATCTACATTTGTAGGTTGCATGTGTACCGGGTATATACATAATATCCATGGTGCACATCATATCATTGTGGGATATTATTGGGGATCCATCATTGCTCAGATTTGTTTTACCACTTTTGGGAGTTGGGATCATCCCCATACCACTTTCGTGATTTGACTTATTAAACACGCTTATTTTCCATAGTTATATTACCCGGGGTAAACAATACCTTTAGCAACCCATCACTTGACTCAAAAAAAAGCTCGACCTCAAAGATCTCAAAACCCAGGATGATGCTGGAAGGGAGTCAGTGTGTAATAATTGGGCCGTTAGGCTACTAGAACCGTTGGTCAGCGGCTTATGATCCAAACATAGCGCTGTAATATGCCGTAATATGCTGTAATGCAAAAACAGCTACACGGTGATACACGGTGATATACAGTTGCTGCAGGTTACTGATGTTTTTGACATGATTCCTACCCACTTCTGGGATCCTCTTTCGTGCAAACGCTTCTCTGAAGCTTTCAGAGGTCTCATCATTGGGTCCCCCTGAAACCTGTAGATTCATATGGTATTAATAATATGGATTCATATGGATTCATTGGGGTAATCTTGAGAGATAGTACTGGTAGCTTGGCTGTAAGCATATGCCCCTGTTCATTGGGCATTGATCGCCAATTTCGTGGGGTAGGATATCCTCATGCTGACAAAGCCAGTTGCTTGTGTTGGTTTAGCATACTGTTGACCCCGACCATAACCATCATTATGAATCATTATGGGATATTATGGGTGTGGGTCATCCCAACATGAAACAGTATGAAACTCGATTGATGAACATATTATGATAGTGCAAATATATGCAAACTGCAAAAAAAATCGTGCCCATGCCTTAAAGGTTGCCATGGCTCCCATGTTGTCAATTGCTGTTTCACAACCAACTCAACTGAGATGCTGGGAGGTGCTGGGAGGTTGTGAAGTACGAGTCAGAATTCTTGCAGGAATCCGACTGCCACAAGATCTTGCATCGGATTTGGCAAAAATATCGGTTATATCGGTTATATCATCATCGTATCTTGGGCACAGTTTTGCGGTGAGGTCAGCGCTGAGTGAACAAAACGGATCAGTGGCTGAAAATGCTGCCCAGGAAAAGTCGGCCATGGATTAAGTTGCGAACACAGACAGCAATCCTTGGACCAATGAAATGTAATCTTGAAAGGCCTTGAAGGATGTTAACCCTGAAGATTTTTACTACAGTTACTACAGTATCTTGAAGCATTTTCCAGAATGAACATTGCACCCGGTTGGATTAAGCTGGAATTCTTCCACTACCAACCTCCCTCAACAACCTCTACCGAGTCTATCCACCCCAATCTTGCCATGTTTGATCATGTTTAGGGCCTAGGGGAAATTCAAGAATCCAATGACACCAGCCCATCTACCCAACAACGAAGCATCAAAAGAAACAAAGAGTGAAACCCGCAGGATTTTTGGTCGTGACTATCCTCGGATGCCCCTCCAAGAGTGCTTTATAGGATTATATAGGATGTGATTCTGATATTCTGCCCTTGTTGCTATATATACCTTAAGCCTAGAGACACAGGTTCAACATGCTTTTTGGTTCCACTTGGCTCTCACGGTCACTGTACAGTCATCCAGTCGGAAAGTATGGGAATGGCATGGGGTGGTTGTATGATTGTGATATATTAATATATTTTGATAATATGTAATAATATGTTTTGATCTTTAATGACAACATTTCTTGAAGTCCGGCTTGTCGGGCAGTTGAACATGACTTCTTGATGGCTTTTGCGCCAGGACTCACCAATCAGTCGATCCAGCCCTGCCATTTCCATCGTCACTGACCAAATCGGCTCACTTTGTGGAGGCCATCTGGCCATGACTGTCTCCATATTTCCATCGCGGCCTTGCCGACAAAACAGACAAAAACATACCCAGCATTTTCCTGACCTCAACTTGGTTGAGGGCAGCCAGCTACTGGGAGATCTGCAACACTTGGGGAATGTCTACTGCTGATCAAACTATAAGAAGCACCATCCCCTCCATCATCCTCCATCCCATTGAGGAGCACTTCTGAATCATCTGGATTTTCCTCCAGGAATAAAAGAAGCCTGAAGCTTGTGGTTTGAAGAGAACATATGTAATATAGCAATACATATACTGTATATATATATATACACGTATATATATATTATATTATATGTATATATATATATTATTATATATATATATATATACATTTGTTTGTATACACATATATAATATATGTATATGTGGTTATCCCATGCTGCAAAATTCACTTCCTTGAAGGTGTGTGAGGGCCTAGGACAAACCGAGTACAAAGGTTGTTGTGATTTGTTATGATTTGTTGTGTTCACTGTTTCCAGGGTGGATATCCCAACCTATATCCTTATATCAACATGCATTGAGCTTTATATAGGTTTATAATCTTTATATAGTCTGTTTTAGCATCAGCATGACTCTTCATGACTCGTATCTCTTAGCTTGATGCACCAACGACAGGAACATCTCAGTCATCAATGGGATGCCGAGGGCAAGGAGCTTCCTTCAGAATCCAAGTGGTCCCTGAGCTCCACGGCATTCCACGGCCACGGCTGACCGCTTCGGGGTATCACCGGTGGGGGCGGGTTGGGGTGGGAGATTTCTAGCGTGGCCTATTGGAAATATCACAGAACACCAATGGATACCAATGATAGATACGCAACCGAAAAAAGACGTCATCATGAAAATGGAAATAAGATGAACTAAGATGAAATTTGTGCGAAAAGCCTAGGTAGGCATGTTCATGTAAACAATGAAACTCATGGGCAACCGTTCAAACTCAGTTGCCACTCGGACTACTGAAGGATCTGGTCCCCAGCTTTGTGCACGGGCAGGTCTATAATCCCATGCAAGGGGCAGGATCATTCTCCCAAGCCACAAAAACTTGTGGATCCACAATGAACTCCCAATGAGTTCAGAATGTTCAGATCCTTCTAACGGACGCAAACTGTCAGGAATCTTGTGCCAACGCCGCGTCAGGCCCACCTGTTAGTGGGATGGCCGCAAACGTTTGTCATCTGCGACGTGGAACGCTCGACAGCTGTAGCTGGGAGCCGTGCAAGGTGTCAAGATCTCTCAAGCAGCACAAGTACCAAGTAAATCCAATAAATCTAAGTAATTCGAAGCTATTTGCCATGCTGCAATGCTTGATTCATGCCTGAGCATTGATGTCCAGAAGCTCAAATTTTGTCAATGCACTAAAAGGATTCACAAAAAAGGACTACAGTACATCAAGTGACATAATTATGATGGAACCATCTACCCATGACTCGATCTGTGTCAACATGGTCGGACATAAGAACCAATGTCAAATCATCAAAGGCCGAGAAAATAGTCCTTTCACGTCATTTGACCGGAACAGGCAGATTGGGTTTGCTGTGTTGACATTGCAATCATTACAGAGGATTCGAAAGACGCACCTGCCTGTTGGACTCTGACAACCTTGTCAAAAATAGGTTCCGCGAGTCTTGAATAGTGTTGATTGTTAATATATGTTGATATGCTGAGCATTTCCAACCCAAATCTGCAATTGAGAGATCTTTCCCTCATTTCAAAGGACAGTCGATCATTTCTTGTGTGGCACTTCCTTTCCAAGCAATCCAGGATAAGCTCCTCTCACTTCCTGGGATGCCACGGAGTGCTCAGCAGAACAAATCAAACGTTACGAGTAATAATGTTACATGGCTGAATTTAGATACCTTGCAAACAAAGTCAGTTTCGGGTGATAGTATAACTGGAACCTACCCAACCAATGTTTACCCACTTTACCCGTGGGGAAAAAATGAGGACTCAAACGACCTGATCTTGGACACACATTTACTGTACCTATTGAAATGGATTGAAATGGATGGTTTTCTTTTTGCCAGGTGAAACTACCAAAGCGTGACCTATCAACAAACTGTTCGCCAAGCTTCATCTTCATCTTCATCATCACCATCATCATCATCACCATCATCGTCATCATCATCGTCATCATCATCATCGTCATCATCATCATCATCGTCGTCATCATCATCATCATCGTCATCATCATCATCATCGTCATCATCATCATCATCGTCGTCATCATCATCATCATCATCGTCATCATCATCGTCGTCATCATCATCATCATCATCATCGTCATCATCGTCATCATCATCGTCATCATCACCATCGTCATCATCATCATCATCGTCATCATCATCATAGTCATCATCATCATCATCATTGTCATTGTCATCATCATCATCATCGTCATCATCATCGTCATCGTCATCGTCATCGTCATCGTCGTCATCATCATCATTGTCATCATCATCATCGTCATCATCATCATCATCATCGTCATCATCATCATCATCGTCATCATCGTCATCATCATCATCATCATCGTCATCAGCTTGCACATTATTACCATGTTGGTTTGAATTCCTGTGTTCAGTAACTTTTCTCTGCAGCCTGCTGCCAGTCAACCAACCGCCTATGTTGCGGTTGGCCCAGGACATATTCTTGGGTGGAAATGGGTTGGTTTTCCCCACAGAACGGGTAGAGATAAGCTCGTCATTAAGCATGGAGTAGGGTTTACAATACCCATCAATGACACTATCCTGTTCAATCATACTATCATTTCAGTTATCCATCGAATCATCGAACTATCATTCGGTCATATCAGCAGAACTTAAGTTGCTTCATCATGAACTTCATCTCCCATTATTCTTAATTATAGCTAATTTACAGCATCATATCATATCATATCATATCATATCTCAATTTCCCCAGCGGCCCACCACCAAACGTCATGCTCCGAGTTTCCCGTTGCACCACCTTTGCCTCGCCCACGTCGTCACGGACACCTGGTGCAGCACCGGTCCGCGGCAGCAGGCAGCGCAGCAGGGAGCGGCGCAGACCGGTGACCTCGCCGGCAGCTTCTAAGTCCTCCGAGCAGGTCATTGGATCGGGATGGGGACCGAGATGTCCAAGATACACTTATAGGAAACTATCAGGGTCGGATTTGGTATACTCTTTGAAATCCTTTACTTGTGCTATGGTCACTTTAGTATCACTATCAAACCATATCGAATCCGCACTAAAATCTGCTAGGAGTTTGGCTTTGGTGGGTGATTTGGTTTGTTTAATTCCAATACAACAATGAATTATATTGTATGTTTTTTACAATCTTATACACATAATTTATACATAGCAAATAAATAATAAATGCAAATGATCTATAAATATGTTGTCCATAAAGAACCCCCCCGCCAATGGCTGTTTACCCCACATTCGCCCTCGCAGAGCCGCGTCCTCATAGGCCTGGCAAAACTTCCTGCGCACCGCCTGCGCATGAACCTGTCGGATCTGCTGATTCATCGAGGTCTTCTGCAGCCGCTCCACCTGAGGTGCAGGCAGTGCTGAGTGGTGCTGGATGGTGCTGGGGGAAGCAGGCTCCCAAGGCTGCTATTTTGATCTTTGCGGAGACTTGGTGAAATGTTAGGCAGACATTGGACATATATCATCATATTATATTATATATCATGATTCTCCAAACTGTTGATTGTACACTGTAGAATCACCAGAACTTTTGGGGTTTGCATGTTTTGTTTCTGTACACATCGGTCTCACTTATAGTTGGCTTTGAACCCAACATGAATCATTGTCATCATGTCCATTCACCCAAGTGAGAATGCAAATGTCAGCAGCTTTTAAGATGTGATATGTTGCCATTTTGAGTGGATACAGTAGCTCCCATGCCTGTTGGTACTATGTAAATGTATCTTTATGTGTTGTTTGTGCTACCGCAATTTGGACAATAGATGCAAGATAATGCATGATGGTGCAAGGTTCAAGCATTGGGACCAAAAAAACATCTCAAAGGGTAAGGGAAGCCAATAGTTGGGCATAGTTGGGCTATCCCCCAAATCTGGACATGACCATGACCATGTAGTTTAATCCAATTATTTTGTGCTTAATTGTATTTACCATAATCTGTTGCTGAGTATCCCGATTTCTGTTGGTTCTATCACCACTTCTATTTTGTAAACCCCATTTCTTGTTTAAACCACACAATCACCACAAATAGCTGCTCTGTTTAGCTCGTGCTCACCAGATTTCAATCGTTTTATGCCGTGTTTTGCTCAAAATTGTCCATCCTTTCATGATTTGCTCAATAAGACACCGCATTTCCTCTCTATGTTTGAATATTTTGGTCATTTTTGGTCAACATATTTCCATCCGTCACACCGCTGTCCCCGGCCGTTCCACGCATTCGCCATGGCACGGCGTCCGCGTCGGGCACGTCGGAGGCGACGCTGAGGAGCTGCCGAGCATCCGCGCGGCTCAAGCGGTCATCGGCGGCCTGCCATGAACCAATGGGTTGTGACCCATAGGACATAGGAATTGGGGACCCCAAAGAAAAAAACAATGTTTATCATTGTTTATCTGGAAAGTGATGACAATATAAAGCCATATAAAGCCAATATCTGGCATGACTTCGGATACCCTTGTAGACTTTAAGAATGTACTTGCAAGTGGAATCGATTCCTTCAGTTCAGGGAGAACAAAGACATTTTTTCTATTCTGTTCTAATCCCATTCACCAGGTGCTACCAACATTTCTCAACCCAATAATCCCAGGAAACCTCCACCTGCCCTGCCTACCAAACCCTACCCGACCTGGAGATCCTTCACCATGCGATCCTCCAGCAGTCGTCGTTTCAGGCGCCAGTAGAAATAGCCGCGGGATTGTGACCACTGGAGACCTGGATCTGCGGAGCACTGTGATGGTGTGAAACATGGCATTGCATTAGATGACAATAACAACTGGGAAAAGATTGCAAATGAACAATAACATACTATCAATATCTATCAATATATCATCCATCTCAAGAACAACACAAGTACTAAATATTATTAAATACATTTAAATACTAAACCAAACCAACACAGCGGTACTATCCGGTAATCCATTGGTTTCCCACCGCCCTCCATTTCCCCTCACCCTCCAGCAAAGGCGCTCTCACGCACTGCGCCCACCGCCTTCATCCGCCCCGCGCGGTCGTGGAGGTCGGCAAACTCACAGGCCACCTGAGCCATTCCCAGGTTTTGGTGCCAGATATGGGCTACAATTGGGCCATATATAGCCACATAATATAGGGATTTGATGAGATTGTACCATCAGCAAATTGGATGCTTCGGTGAATTTCATGGATTTTACCGTTAAGTTGTTGATATGTATGTTTTTCTTTTGCCAGTAGCAGTAGCTTTTATGGAGGTTTACTAAAGTTACTAAAGTACAAGTAAGTGGGGATCCAACCAAATGGAGACTTTACTGAGACGTCACCAGCCAGAAGTATGCAGAACAAAAAGGGACCCCTTTGGGCATGCAACAGGATGCAACAGGAATTGGTTCACACACCTCCCTAGCAAATCAAGTAGTAATCCAATAGAACCATCAACCAACGTCTATGTGTTATAGCAAAATCAACCCATATTCTCACCATTCTCGTAGATCCTCTTTTGCCTGACATGCTATGCTCATCCTTCAACCGTTTCCGGATCTTTCTTCGGGATGAATCCCTCTATCGAGCCATGCAATGGTGCCTCGTATCCCATATCAGATGATTTCTGGCATTGCTAGGGTGGCATCTACATGAGGAAACTAACCACCAGTGAAACATCGTTTGAATGCCATTTTGTTCATCATCTTCTCATTTATAAGTAACCCTCCATCATGATTAAAACCTTGACATCGTATTCCCCTGGCAATGGTGAACACCCACAAAATCTCATGATATATTCATGATAAACGTTTACAAATCCTTACAATGATTAACAGCGTTTACAAATCGTTGAACTCCCAAGCATTGCTCGTTGATATCATTGTTGATATCATTGATATCCCATTTACATCCATTTACATCAAAACCATTCAAAACCTCAATTTCTTCAAGGCAAAAACCTGAGAAATCACCTGGGCCTGGGTATAGAGCGGTTGCAGCATCTCTTCCCTTCGATGGATCTCCTGGAGTCCATGCTGCGATTCAGCCAACGATTTTTTTGGGGGCTGAGTAACCATCGACTATTGGGTTGGTTGATGTCGGTTGAATCCTTATGAAAATCGTTTGGTAAGTGATGTTTCGTTGACGGCCCGGAACAAAAAATAACCTGCTTGATTGATTTCCATGATTTTCCTGCGAGACTAAATGTGGCCATTCTGGGGCTTCCATATGTCAGATTTGTTCAATGCGACACTAGTACCACTAGATATCGATTGGTTACAACTGTCCAGAAGCGGGGATTATTTTGTTCGCATGATTGACATGTGGGGGCTATTAAGGTGCCAGATCCAGGCTTATTATGTTTATTACTGAATGATGTAATTGGGGTTTCGCGATGTGTCGCTTTGCAGGTTGGTGAGCTATATTTGAGTAGCAACTGGGACATGACACCATGATGTACCATTGACACCTGGGCTTACCAGTCCTTGGCTGATGGAGGTTTTGGGTGGAATCGATTCTGCGGAAGATTGCCCCATGGACTGATAACATTGGCTCGCAAGGTGGGAATGAATTCCAGACCAATGTTTTCAGGGTATAAATTACCCGCTGTCCAACGAATTAATCAAGATTAATCAACTAGATGATTTTGATTTTGAGTTTGTGAAATCACCCAGTTATCAACCCTCTCAGCGTCTCTCTAAACATGCACATATATATGTATATATATTATAATATATTATACAGTAACGTAATATAACTTCCATGATCATCCAAGCAATCCCACACATGACACGGTCTTCGCCCTTGGGTCCCGTTGCAGGAATCTCCTGCTGCAGCTGCTCCGGTGCTGGTGATGTCTTCATCTGCGCATCCAGCTGCTGAAGTTTGTCATCCAACCGATGCATCATCTCCACCTGGAGGAAACAGGGAGGGGATGGGTGGAGAATCGGGTATTATATGGTATTTTGTTAGGGTTGTTTTAGTGAGATGGGATTGATGGGATCATGATGTCATTCCCGGTTTTGCTTGTTCTATGGTTATTTCATCATCTTCGACCCATGTTTTTTTTATCGTTTTTCCCCATTATACACCGCTTTATGGTTGTTCATGTTGTTCTAGGAGAAAATATGGTTGGGATTTCATGACGTCACAAGAAACATGTTGTTCGATGCAGTGAGGCACAGAACAGGCATCACACACGACAAACAACAACACAAGGAGACACACAATATCAGCTGACAGTGAATATATGTGTGAACAGGCATTGTTGAATATGCGGTAAGTCAAGACAAGCCATGTTGTGATGACTGGCAAATCTTGAAGACTTTGATAAATGGATCTGTTCGAAAACGCGGGTAGGGACCCAGTTTATGGTCGTTTAACAGAAAAATGATGAACCCATCATTTTTCTGGGTACCCTAGTTTCAAACCACCCTATATTCACAAGTTGTATTTTAATGTATGAGTTGGTAGGTCACGAACGTATGGTTGTGTATGGTTCAATACATAAATCAGTTGCCAATTCTTCCTGCTTCCCGGCTTCCCGGCACTGACCACCCATTGATCTGGGATGTAATTTAAAGATACTTAAAGTGGCACACAAAGAAAAGCTGCATGTTTTCAACGGACGCAACACCATGATCAAACATGTCTGGAGGTGGGATTGCAACCTACTGCAACCTGTCCACATTTACATTTTGTTCTACCCAGGGGACTTGACTTTCTGAAAATGCCAGTCAGGTCAATGCCACACAATTCTTTGATGGGCGTTATTTGAAGGAAGGAATTCAAAAACGTTGATATGTATGTAGTCCTCCACATTGGTGCTTTTCCAGACATTCTTGCAAATCCCAGTGGTTGAACATTGGTCCCCAAGCCAAATATCCCATATTATCCCTATGGCTGCAGGCCGAAGCACCCTCTGTTTGGACCGGAACTTCACTTCAACGATTCCAGCCGGCTCCAAAATGCCACCCCTGCTGTCTTGATCGGCGTACATCTCCATGACATCGGGATTGATGGCTGGATCCACCACCACCCAGGAGCCCCCACGGAGTTCGCCCTCCGGGGGAATGTAAATGAAGACGGGTTGTTTGTAATCCACCAAGGCATCCACAATCTGAGCTCCGAATTTCAAGACTTCTCCGTACATGTCTCGAGTTCCTCCAGAGAAACCACGCCAATTGGCAAAGATCATCAAAGGAAGATTTTCGCCCACATTGAAGTCCCGTATGGCTGTGGCTGTCTTGTAGGCACTGTCAGGAAACCACACTTGTCCTGCTTGAGGCTCGACAATCTCTCTACTCTCTGGATTGCCGGGATCAGCAGGTATTCTCCTTTCAACATTCCTGGTCTCGACTGCTATGACACCCATGGGGATGCCCCCCAAGCGTGCTCGACCTACTACTACACTTCGGCCCCAACCAGCCATGTATTCAACGAAACTTCCTCGGTCGAAGAAACCAGAAAGCCATTTGCCATTTCCCGTTGTCGTTCCAGCCAACATGTGCCGAGGATCATAAGGTTGTTTCGTAGGTCTAAACTCCACGGATCGGTCGAGAGGGTCTGTTGAAGAGATTGACTGTGGCAGGGACCAGGTATCCCTGGGAACAAAGGAGAGCCACTTCAGAATTGCCTCAGCACCTTCCTGATCGTTTTGTACCAGCTGGTGGGTGATGCCGTTGGGAACCATGATCTGGGGTCCTCCAAGCTGGTCTTGAGAAAAATACACCTTGGACGCGAGTTTGGGCTTCCAAACTAATTCTTGCCAAAGAAAGCAAGGCAAAATATGCAAAATAATTGTCAGCCAGCTTAGCCAGCTTGCTACTTCTTTCACGTCTTTGTTGGCCTTCGATTCTTTTGTTTTGGCGAAGAGGATAAAATCCGCCAATATTAATGGGCTTTCATGTTCTTCTAGTTCGCAAAGGCAGGACACGCAATTTGCCAAGAAACACTCTTCCCCAGCAACTTGTTGAGAGCACCATAGCCAGTGAGTACCAAGGGCCCATCCACCGATTGGATGACCCGTTGTCCCAGGCGGTTCAGATACGCGCCAATGCCCACGGATCTGCCAGTGACGTAGGACAATGTAAAAATGTCCTGCTGCGCCCCGTGTAGGCTGCTTGGGAATCTTGGGCCAGGGCCGGCCCAGAGGACCAAAGCATCTACAGATGGCCATTGGGCTATTAGAAATTACATGAAATTACCATATGATGTAGCCAAGAGAAAGGATGACGTATAATGACGGGATGCAATCCAACCGTGCGACTCTAACCCGTCAAAGTGATGCCATTCTGGCTCCAAGATCTCCAAGACTCATTAGGGCCTTTAGGGCCAGACCTGTTGACATATTGTGCTAACATTAGGACAAAATACAGGCCCCGGGTGGCTTGGCATCACCTGAAACATGCTGGCACTCAAGCAATATAATATTCAAAATTTATATCTCTGTGGTACGTTGTGAGATGCCGTGAGCGAGCTAGTTCACAAAACACGCCAAATCAACATGTATTCAACAAGTAGATCAAGATGCAGGGCCAGGAAAATCTACTTTAAACAAAATAAAAAACACTTTTCAGCCCTCCTATATGATCTTCCATGGTTTTCCTATGTAGTCTCCAAATCATCCATGGCTCATCATGGCTCGTCCTGGTATGCCCTGCTGGTCTCCCCGGCAATGGAGCCGGAGCCCTGTAGATTTTCCACACCAATGCCACCCTGGATGGAACCTGGACAGCTGGACAGCTGGACAGCTGGGGTAGCCTGGTACCACAACAATGATAAACCCTATATAGACCTATAGAATCCTATAGAATCCTATAGAATCCGACAGACCTGTAGATACATGAAATGATCAACATCTGTAAATCTTGGGGGTCTTAATTTCTGAACCATACCTATCCCGGCTATGATATTTGGTGTATCTAGTAGTGATTACCGTGGATGATTCACCATCTCCTTGGACCAAGCTGCTCAAACCCTGTCCAACCACAGCATCCAGCGCATAGCCAACCCCAGGCACCAGCTTGCCGATGACTGCGCCACTGGGAAGGCTCTTGTAATCAGCCTCCGTCAAATAGAGGTACTGAAAGCCCTGGCCGGTTGCAAACAAGAAATGCACCACCAAGCTTAAGCAAATGTGCCAAGGGGAACTATGAAAATGACCATCAGCTTCAGAAATAGAACGTGCTGATGTGGTGAAAAAAAACAATATAGAAGTCAGTTTTGGAAAAAAACGACCAAACTCGGGTGATGTTCAAATGAATTGCATTCCAAAGCTTGGACATGTACTAGTACCAAGTTCATGCTGACATTTTTATACATTTTTCCGAGGCTACCGCCAAACTGAAACACATGAGGCAGAGTTTGATGTAGCTTTGATATGCGTTCATTAAATTATTTAAAATTATGCCCCATCATGATGCATCAGGCATGACCATGACTACGAGCCAGCAACCATGTGTTTGTACCTCAAGTTTGTGGATATCCGCTGGAAATTCCACAATCCCAGTCCCGCACCTTGGAAGGATCTGCCGCATCATTCCAGTGAACCCGTAACTTGGGCATGATTTCCTCCACCAAACCCACACGAGCTCCGCTGTTGCAGGCGATATAGACCCGTGGCAAGCCCCGCTGCCGGGCGTATTCTGTGGCCTTCTTAAAGAAGTGGTCCTCTGCCACGCCGAAGGAACCTGTAGCAGGGCAGTGGCTAACATCGGTAACATGTTGAACAGTCCAACATAGTCCAACCAACACCGCTAGATGATCAGTAGAATGATGTAAAATGGCCACCAAGAAACAGTGGTGATGGTCATTCAATGTCATTCATAGTTTTGAACTGGATAGAATCTGCTATGGTCGGTCAGCCGTAGAAAGGCAATAACCCTTGCACTGGAATGGCATTTAGTAGATTTGGTTGCTTCTGAAGTTATAATGGAAAGACAGTCAACGAGCCTGCAATGCTGCAGTAAATGGCCGGATTTGAGCATCCTTACATCATCTTACATCCGCACCACAGGAGGGCCACTCTCATTTGCGATGCAGTCATCATACCATCAACCATCACTGACCTTCCAGAACAGCCAGTTTGTTAAATTATTCCACCCTTCCAAGTCCTCTCCCTACCACTGGGGCAAATTCGGGGTAGGTGGGCTAGAATATGCTAGAATGTAACTGCAAACCCTCACAGCTGAAATTTCAAAGATATACCGATATACCCTACTGACTCACCCTCTCCATCACTGAGCATCCAACTAGGTCCGTCACTTTGAGGTGTTTAGTTACCCGCATGGCCCGTCGAAGCACCAGTATCCCCACCAGCCCACCACTGGGGAAAATGTAATTACTTGGCTTGGAAGTCCTGATCTCAGGCACTCATTGGATCTTTCTGGATCTTTCACAGGATGCACAACTGCGAGTAAACAGTTGTTTCTGAGTTTTTCTGTTTGGCCGAGGGCAAACAAGAATCAATATAATCAATCCATAAATCATATATTATTTATATATAATATATATAATTAATATTATATATATATTATTTTTTCCCATCACTTCAGCATCCCATGATGCCCTCCCAGCCCCATCAGCCCTAACCTGCTTGGTGCGTGACGTCGTTGGCGATCAACACCAGGGAGCGTCCCTCGGGGAACTCCGGGGTCCGCAGCAGCAGGCGCCACGCCAACATGCCGATGGCGCCAGTGCCACGGCTTTCCAACTCTTGGAGTTGACCGTTGACCTCAGGGGGAGGCAACATCTGTGGATTTTTGTGGTGATATTAATGAGAAGATGTAGGGTGTATATATATATATGGTCACCCCCCCCCAACGACCCCCCAATGTGTCATTTGTATTGTTATTTACAGCATAAAATGCGTATTTTTAGTATTCCATTTTTGTCTTCTTCGTATATAGTCATAACAATACAATTTCTTAAGGCACTTTGGGGAAGGCCCCATAGAAACACAATTGACCGCCGACCCAAAATCAAAAAAACATCGGGAAAACAAAAAAAAACGAAAAAAAAAAATATTTTCCGACTCCTCTGGGGTCACTCCATGAAAAAAACAAAAAAACCTTGAGAAAACCAAAAAAAACAAAAAAAAACAAAAAAAACAATATTTTCAGACTCTTCTGGGGTCACTCCATGAAAAAACCAAAAAAAACCTTGAGAAAACCAAAAAAAACAAAAAAAACAATATTTTCCGACTCCTCTGGGGTCACTCCATGAAAAAAACAAAAAAACCTTGAGAAAACCAAAAAAAACAAAAAAAACCAAAAAAAAAAATATTTTCAGACTCTTCTGGGGTCACTCCATGAAAAAACCAAAAAAACCTTGAGAAAACCAAAAAAAACAAAAAAAACAATATTTAGAAACTATCTCGAGGGCCCCCCCCCCAAAGAATCGCTAAATATTGTTTTTTTTGGTTTTCTCAAGGTTTTTTTGGTTTTTTCATGGAGTGACCCCAGAAGAGTCTGAAAATATTGTTTTTTTTGTTTTTTTTTTTCTCAAGGTTTTTTTGGTTTTTTCATGGAGTGACCCCAGAAGATTATAAGAATATGAAAACTCATAATTTCTCCAATATTTCTTAAATGCAAACACTGTCTATCACTCATGCATCTGCCAATCCGTAACTGAACTGTTTCAAATCCAAACTACTGCCTTGACCTGTCTGTCATTCATGCATCTGTCCAGCTTCAACTCAGCCATTTCAATTCCAAACTGCTTCCTGGATCATCGCATTTGCTTCTTCGTTTTTTTTAATTGTTTCATGGAGTGACCCCAGAAGATTATAAGAATATGAAAACTCATAATTTCTCCAATATTTCTTAAATGCAAACACTGTCTGTCACTCATGCATCTGCCAATCCGTAACTGAACTGTTTCAAATCCAAACTACTGCCTTGACCTGTCTGTCATTCATGCATCTGTCCAGCTTCAACTCAGCCATTTCAATTCCAAACTGCTTCCTGGATCATCGCATTTGCTTCTTCGTTTTTTTAAATTGTTTCATGGAGTGACCCCAGAAGATTATAAGAATATGAAAACTCATAATTTCTCCAATATTTCTTAAATGCAAACACTGTCTGTCACGCATGCATCTGCCAATCCGTAACTGAACTGTTTCAAATCCAAACTACTGCCTTGACCTGTCTGTCATTCATGCATCTGTCCAGCTTCAACTCAGCCATTTCAATTCCAAACTGCTTCCTGGATCATCGCATTTGCTTCTTCGACATGGCTAACGTGGACGTCAATTTCGTGGAAAGCTTTAGGCATCAACTTGGTGAAAGAGATGGTATCTTGTCTTATGAGGAGGCAATCGTGCAAGTGTCTGGGCAACGGCTGCTCGGACCTCAACAAAAGCCGCTCAAAAGCAACCGGCCGAAGGGTGATGTGTGCCTGATCGACTTACCCATCAGGGACCTACATTCACATGGTGGCAAACTTGAACAGTTTGTGGACATTATCCAAAATCATCCTGTCGAGGGAGAGATTAGCATCAATGCCGACTTCCTTGACAATCTCTTGTACAAGCATGCTGTCCAAGCCAAATACTCAGCTCTTCCCAAACCATTCTGCTTGAAGGCAGAGCCCAAAGTTCCATATAGCATGCAGTTTGTCATCGTGCCGTCCTATCTTCCTCCTGATGAAGATCATGCCTATGTCGACATCTTCAAGCACGTTTACCTTCACAAGAACAAGATCCTCAGCAGTGAATGCATCTCCTGTTGTCACGGAATTCCTGTTCGCTTTGACTGGGGCTCTCAGGTTCGTCTCGGCCTCACAGGTATGAACTACATGCTGGATCGCGTCGGAGGCATGCAGGTGCGATTGTGGACAATTCAGCCCAAGTTCGAAAAGAAGGTGACTTTAGATCAGACTGCTCGTGAGGCAGGGTATCATTTCATTCGAGACCATGGTCCGCGCTCCAACAACAGGAATCAGTTCATGGAGTGGACCGATGAGCAGGTTCATCTTGCCGGTGGCCCCTTGGAAGGATGGCATGAAGGAAAGGTCAAGGAAGCTCTGCACAATTACTATCGCGGGCGGCAAAATGCCAAAACTTTAGAGTATTGGCCCCTGACCTTGAAGAGTTTCAGTGCATGGTTCCTAGATGATGTGATTGTGCACATGCTACCCTCCATGCGACAGCACTCAATCACTTGGATTGGACGCACCCGCGTCGGCAAGTCGGTTGGTTCCAAAACAATCCTCTTCGCACAGTCCCGCTTTGAGATCACTGAAGCAGACCGAACTGACTTGACCCCATCCATCGTGACGGCCAAACATTTGGATTTCTTCAAAGCCGAACCCATTACGAAATTCAAACCAGGTGTCTTCGACGATGGCATGTTGCAGCGCATGGACAGCAGCTTTCTCAAAGCCTTCTTGAATCCATCGGCTTCTTGGCTTCCAATGGTGCTTCCTCCCTTTCACATATGCACTACAAATACTAAGTAAATGAATAGATAACGAAGTAAAATAAATAAATAGTCAATATTAAGTCACATGAAAGAAAATAAATTAAAGAAAAAATAAGAAACAAAAAATATAAATCATCAAGTGTTATGGAAACACATCGTGCCTGTGTCTTCTACTTAACAAAACAATGTCAACTGCATGTGGTAGCTGCCTGGGTAACATGTTGCTAGCTGTCCAGTCTGTCGCCGATCTTCACGCTTGCAACTGCTCAGGAAGAGGATGCGACTGTGTGGGCTCGCTATTCATCTGCTCAGTTTGATCAAGGAGCTGGATGTCACGCTTGCAACAATCCGTACAATGATGTGGTCGAGGAACAGCTTTTCCAAGAGATGCAGAAGAAAGGGGCCAGCAGCATTTCTCATAAGGGTTTCCTCGACATCATCGCTCCTTCCTTCACCGCCGTCGAAGACAAAGAGGACATGGCCGCAATCCTGGCGCGGACCCATGTCATTCTCCTCACAGAGAACGGAGTATATCACCGCGTCTCCAACACGCAGAAGGTGGATGTGCCATTCATCCAATGGCCTGAGGCCTCCATCAAAGATATCTTGGCTGCAGAGCACAAGCCGATCTTCAAGGCATACAGACAAAATCCTTCTGGACATTCTTTGCCCGAGAACTATCATGCTGATGCCATTTGGTCCCAAGAACTACTTCGCAAGCTATTGAATGGTGAATCAGTGCCACGAACTATTACGATTCGGATGGGCAACCTGTTCTCCGCAGAAGTCTCGGAAGTACAGCAAGCACCACGTTTACTGCCTGCGTCCGAGATGGCCACCAAAGTGAAGAAAGAACGTGAGGTGAACTTCTTCAAAAACCTCAAGCGCTCAAACTTTGGCATCATTGACCTCGACAGCCCCTCGCCTCCAAAGCGGGTCCGTTCGACATCGGCCCCTTCAGTCCCCAACCCAGACGATCTGCCCGGGATGTCCGTGGAGAACGAATTTCCTGAAGTTGAAGAGACAGATGAATTCAAGATTGAACTTGAAAAGATGGTAGAGTTGGAGATGATGGAAGATGCCGATGCCTTTTACAACGCAGAGAAGTGAGTGAGATCTTAGGAGACATTGCTGTGAAATTTTGTTTGATACTCATGCTGCGTGTGTAGAGTAGTCTTGGTCAGACTGTCCCAATCCAGAACAGTAGCAAAGCAAGGGGTGGAAAAAATGTCCCGGCGGCCTGCTTGACACTTGCATCACATCAATATGTATGTGTAAACTACAGAATGAAACATAAGCTTTCTTGCACATACAGAAGCAAACTTGCTCAGATGTGTGTCATGACATTGCCTGTTCGTTGGATTTTCTGCATGGTCTGCCCCACTCTTATTTGGAGAGACATTTCAAATCAAAATTGCCATCCATCCGCTTGTCCTTGCACCGTCCAGCCGTTTGCATTCCTCAAACACTTTCGTGCTCGCTGACAGTTTTGCTTCTGATTGACATCATGCCAAAGAAGATCATGAAGGCTGTGAAGAACAAGCCCCAGGTTTGGCCAGCTCCAAAGAAAGGAAAAGCCCGCACCTTTGTGAAGTCCAATGCTCCCATGAAGAAATGCAAGCCTGTCCCGTATGTCCGGCATCCAGGTGTGCAGACCAAGTTTCGAAAGGAAAGGGTTCACTTCGGTGTGTCAGTTCAAGGCCTCATCTCTATGCGTCCTCGGGCTTTGTTCCGTTGTTTGCAGAAAAATGGCATTCTCCTCGACTGGAGAGGCCAGACCTGTCCCCATTGTGGCGCTGGGAGTCTCCAACCTCTGCGCTTCTTCAAAGACAGAAAGGTTTGGGCGCACAAGTGCACAGCCAAGCTTTGCAGAAAATATGTTCAGCCACATGACTTCCATCCCATTTTCCATCATGGACGTGGGGCCAGCTACACTCCCTTGGGGCATCAAGCAGCTGTTCTATGCTGTGCGCTTGCGGGCGTACCAGCAACCTCAGCTCCCGTCATCTTGGGCATGAATCACAAGCCCGTCTCGCGCATCTACAACAACCTTGAGATTGCTCGCAGCCGTCATGTCCTCCAGAAACAGAAGGAAATCCACTTCGGAGCCAGACACAAATGGTGTGATGTTGAGGCGGATGAAGTTGATATCGGCAAGGAAGTTGACTTACAGCACAAAAGGGCCAAGTGGGAGCAGTGGGGTGGCATTGTCGAGCGGGGCCAGCCTAGCACCTTGGTTCTCTTCCGCCTCCCTCCAAAGACTACCGCTGTGCGCTCGCCAGGTCCAGGCCCAATCACCAAGCGAGATTGGAAACCCATTGCTCATAAGTTCTTGGAGAATCGTGATGTGATCTTGCATACTGATGGTGCCAAGACCTACAAGATGAAATTGTCCGGCGTGGTGCATGACAACGTAGTGCACAAGAAGAAGCAGGTGCTCGTGAAGGGAAAGCCTGTGTGGGTGAAGCCTCATTACACCAAAGTGTGGAAACACAAGTTGCCAAATGGCAAAAGCGTAACCGTGAAAGCAGGTACGCAAATCATCGACCGCTTCTGGGGCCATCTGCGCGCAGCTTTGAAACATGCTCCGCGTAAGGTCGGGTCCATTGCGCTTGCCCGTAAAGTTCGAGCAGCGCAGTGGACGTACTGGCACCGTTCCCAGAATTTTTGGGATGCCACTGGGCAGATGTTGCAGGATCTGCGCCTTTGATCAAAGACTGGCTGTGCAAAAAAGATTCACCGCTTTGCATTCTTCGCTGCAGTTGCTCTTCTCCTGTCGTCAAACATGAGTTCATATATCTTACTTCCTTAACACAATGGCATTTGACATGTGTCCACCTTTCTCTTCTGTTTCAAGAAGAATCTTCAAAGCTACAACTTACACTGCGCAATCTTCACCAAAAAATTGCATGCCTGCTGTTTAACCGTTAGTTTCTGCTTTTTAACGTCATAGTCTTTTGACAAAAAACAAAATGTAGTGTAATATAGTGATACGATGTAATACGTATAATTTGTCTAATGTACAATAGTCCTCTTTGCATGCCCCTAGGTTATATGGGGCTGGCGGTGTGTACTGTAGTTTTTTCGCACTAGTCTTCGCGGTCTGGACAAATATCTATAACGCTCGAGCTTTTTGCTTGTCAGCTGACTTCTCCTGTGCCCTCTTCAATTTCGCCTCGCCTCGACCCAGGATCTGCGCGTTTGATCAAAGACTGGCTATGCAAAAAAGATTCACCGCTTTGCATTCTTCGCTGCAGTTGCTCTTCTCCTGTCGTCAAACATGAGTTCATATATCTTACTTCCTTAACACAATGGCATTTGACATGTGTCCACCTTTCTCTTCTGTTTCAAGAAGAATCTTCAAAGCTACAACTTACACCGCGCAATCTTCACCAAAAAATTGCATGCCTGCTGTTTAACCGTTAGTTTCTGCTTTTTAACGTCATAGTCTTTTGACAAAAAACAAAATGTAGTGTAATATAGTGATACGATGTAATACGTATAATTTGTCTAATGTACGATAGTCCTCTTTGCATGCCCCTAGGTTATATGGGGCTGGCGGTGTGTACTGTAGTTTTTTCGCACTAGTCTTCGCGGTCTGGACAAATATCTATAACGCTCGAGCTTTTTGGCTTGTCAGCTGACTTCTCCTGTGCCCTCTTCAATTTCGCCTCGCCTCGACCATGTCCAACCAGCAAGTGAGCAGTGGCTCTATTTCAGAACAGGCGACGGAATGTGTTCCAAACCCTGCCCGGCCTGATGGGAGGGCCATCCATTACGGAGATTTCTCGCGTCAGCGTAGTAGTTCACCTCCATTTGTTGGTGTCCGCAACCCTGCGCGCCCCGGGACGGAATGTATTCCAAACCCTGCCCGGCCTGATGGGAGGGCCATCCATTACGGAGATTTCTCGCGTCAGCGTAGTAGTTCACCTCCATTTGTTGGTGTCCGCAACCCTGCGCGCCCCGGAGGTGGTGCCATAGATTATGGCAGTTTTGGGTGTAAGAGTCGCTCCAGGACTCCTCCACCATCCGATCGCACCAATCGTCTGATTGGAGGATAGAAATTCCCGTAAACAAATGCAATGTAAAATATACTAGTCTTTCAAAATTAAAAAAATGTTAGTAGGAAAGTCTCAAGCGCAAAAAAATTCCTATTAGCGATTGGTGCGTAGAGGCAGTTTTCACAGCAGCATAAGACCTCAGCTTAGCAAAAGTGATGCTGCTGCGGCAGGGTCGACTCGTTGGTGACTTCAACGTGGTTCTGTGCAGACACAAGTCAAGCATAGTGAAGCAGATGGCGGGTTGAGGGGGGTCGTTGGGGGGGGGCTGAGCATATATATATATATATAGAATCTTATATCTATATTGTATTTACAGTATATATGTTTTTATTTATATAATATGGATACTGACATATTATGAAACATCTAAGGCTGGATAATATCATCCTGATAACATATGCAACGCACATGAAAATTATACCCTACATACCCAGATCAAAGGAACAACATATCTAATGCGATATTCATCCGCTATACCTGGAACACTATAGCCTGCGAAACCTCAAGTTTTACCTTTGCCTAACCACAAACATTAAGGTCATGTGAGACTAACCCAAGGCTTATCCAGCATACTTTCTCCATTTACAGGACAACCCCAAAAAACAATCCTTTTCTCCCTTTGGGTGCGTTGGAAAATGGGATGCCTGCAAGTTTGATGATTAGTCATCTTTCTTCATACTAAATTTAAATACTAGAGCTGTTATTTGGGGTATACTGTATACTCTTCTTTCAGCACATTGATGGCTATTCATATGTAATGTACCTATACATATATATATAATTATATATATATATAATTGTATATATATATATATAATTATATATATAATATTGTATATATAATTATATATATATATATTATATTGTATATATAATTATATATATTATATCTTGACATATCCTCATGCTAATGATATCCCAACAATTCCTATCACTATGAAATCCTTTCGGAATCAGAACTGGCTTTTTTGAAGCCATCAGCTGTTGGGATCCCTTGGGACGCGACGTTCAGCGCCAACTCCGAGGCTTTCAGCAACTCCTTGGGGAGGCTGCCAGCGCCCCAGGCCTTCACCAAGGCCGCCTGGTGGAGAAATCGATTCTTATCTCATGTTCACATATTTGTATGTGAAAATCCACCCAGATTTTGATATATGATTCTATTTGTATAATTATATATTAATTAGATATTTATAGATATCTATAATACAGTTTATGGAATCCAGCCACTTGTTTTGGGGGTGTGGTGTATTTTGAAAACTGTCAACTCAAGAAATTTGAAGACATCAATTAAGTAACTTCAGTTGGACCATCCCAGTAGCTACACCTACCACATCGCTGCCCATTCCATTGGGATTTCTGGTGAGTAACTGGCTTGTATCAAACACAACTGGTACGTGGTATACACTGGTTTACAACCAAAATAATGGAATGCATCAAAGAACATCACATCATAGACTTAATGATCTATAAATATATCTATAATTATATCTATAGATCATATATCTACATATTATTAATTTGTTCTATATTTGTTCATATTTGTTCCATGTCATAATGTTCTCATCCCCATCCGCATTTCCCTACCTCCAAGAGGCCCAGGAAGTCCGGCGCGTAGGTGGACCCCGCTTTCCGGGCCGTGGCCCGCTTGGCCCTGAGCGCCACGTCCGCCGCCACGGGCGCGCGTTCCTGCCCCGTCTGCAGGTCCTGCGAGTCTCGGACCATGATGTGTTCACTTGGTTCATGGTTGACCGGAAGATTTGGGTTGACTTGGATTAACTTGGAAGTTTACCCAACAAAATATGAACATGTTACGGAAAGCTTCACCTAGCAACAATAGGAGTTCACTTATACTAATGAAATTAGATGAGTTGATCATGGTTGATCCAAGGGAGAATTCACGGAAAACCACATATGCTTTAAACTCCAAATGTAGGGGGGTCGCTGCAGATCTTCCCGTGTCTAACCAAAGTGGCTGGTCAGAAGTGAGTATGGTTTCAAACCATTCCAAAGAGCGTTAGTCATCTAGGCAAGTCCTGTCCTGCCACAGTGGGAGCCGGCAAATGCTTGAAAAGAAACGACAGAAAGTGAACAACTTTATAAGGGGGTATGCACAAGCCGCTCAAACTTCTTACCACTACCTGTCACCATCACCGTCATCACCCTTGTCCTGCCATTTCATGGGCGTTCCAGTGATGGGATCCACTTGTTCCAACATGCCGGTACATTTCCTCAGCAGAGATGATGGCAACATGGCAACAGCACCTTGAGCCCTTTGCAGGTGAGACTATTGGATGAGCATCTGAGGGAATTAGCTGTGACCCTCTGGCAATCCAATAATACGGCAAATCCATGTTATATAATGTTATATATATATATAACTTCCCAATATTTCCATATATCAATGGGACAATCACGGATGTTCCAGTGCAATTTTAGGTCTCAAGCATCATGCCCAAATGCATTCAGTCTCCAAAGTCAACAAGGAACACAAGCTCAGCATCGGTTCAAGGTTCAAGCTATTCCTTGAATCAAATTCAAATAGAGCCCTCACTGTATCTGTTTGCCAAGCCTGTATGACAAGTCCAGCGCGAGGCCATCCCAGGAGAAAAAAACTACCAGAATCAACGCTAGTTGTCAAGAAAAATGCACCCAAATATTCCTGTCAAATAAACCTGGAGTTTGCAACCTGCGGGATCTTTGGGGTACCAGGCTATTTCAAATTTTGCCGGCAAACCACCCAGGATAATAATCCAAGGCTGCCAAGGCTCATGTACTTCTCATGTCCTGAGGTAATGCTGAAGCGTAAAACGCCTTGACAACCAGCAGATTCTGAACCCAATCGCACCTGGCAACGTTTCGCAAGGTCTTGGAGACATGTAGGCAATAAAAAACAAATCAGTGGCACTGGCAACATTTTACAGTTGGCCCCTTTAGCTGTGGGCCTTGATCAGTGGTCGTTCTGCTGGTCCCAAATTACACAGACCCATCTCTGGCCCAGAAGTTGAACTCAAAGCCTGTTTGTTGCTGGTCAACTCTGGATCTGGGTGCATGCAATTGCTACAGTGTAATTGCTATATTCATTACTATATTATTATTATTATCATTACCATTATGATTATCATGATTTACTGTTGTTATCATTATCATTATCATTTTTATTCTGAGTGCTGCAGTATATTCACAACTCACAACCTTGATGGTGATCTCGTCCACCCAAAGTCCTGGTGCAGAAAACCCAGAGGATGGCAAGGACAATTCGGGGATATGGTGGGAATTTCACTGCACTGAGTGGGTAAGAAACAAATGCCATAGTCTGGTGATTGAGCATCAAACATTATATAAATTATACAAATTACACATATATATTATATATGATACGTATATAAATTACAACACAAGTGAACTGAAATAGTCACACACACAAATAGGATCAAATAGGCATGGAACATGTTTGCAAATGAGATCTTCAAAACAACCCAGAGGCCAACTTTGGAATTCTCCTACGAAACTTTAGCTTCGCCTCCTGTGATTTCACAGCTTCCCTAGCCACCCATTGGCCTTGTATTAATGCGCCATGTCTGGCCGCGAACTCTCGTGTGAAGGCTTCCAACAAGCCAAAGAGCGCGGAACCGTCCTTGGACGAGGCAAGGCTGGATTTTTTTTCTGCAGATTGTGTCACCTTCACAAAAAAAAAAACGCCAACACTGTTTGCCATAATCTTTACTTAATAGATTTGGTTGGAACGAAACCGTACAAAATTTGAACGCATCCCCAAGTTGTCACCAAATCGTCCAACACCATGGGTCACTGAGCACTGGGCCATGTCTGCCAAGGCTGTCAAGTGCAAGTAGACGCGACCTGCGCAGCATTCCGCTTATAGATTTTCTGATGCCACTTTTCGGTAAACAGAGTGGCAAGTTTCCCCAAATTCCAGTTTTAATAGTTGTAGATATACTTTTTAGCCTTTCTGAATTACCACGAAACTGGAGGCTAAATTCTATTGGGTCACCAGTGGTTGTAGCGGTTAGATCTGAAGGTTTGCAGCTGAGCCTTCTGCTCCTTGAACCTTGGGATTCAACTTGGCGTTTTCCAATTCGTGCATTCCGTCCAACCTCCGTGGTTGGAAGTGGGATGCTCGATTGCCAAAATTTCGCTGCGGCAGCCGTCAGCAAGCAGCACTTCTCTCAAATTTTCAACCAAGCATCTGATTTTCATTGATATCTCTATAATTCGTGTGAAAGTAAGCATTTTGTTGGGTGTATGGAGGAATTAACATAATTAACGATTCTGATCTTCACTTGCAATGCACCTTTCAACGACTCGCAGGTGCCAAAGCAAAAGCAGCTCCCCCACACAAAGCACAGGGATTCCTGCCATGAAGCCCCTTGCTGATCCATGACCACTTCTATGCATATCAAGCCATATATAATATAAACCAACATACTAAGACGATCCTAACGTCACAAGAAATGAATTGGCCACTTTCATTCTATTAAATTCTACTGTATTAAATACATAATTTCATGGAAATTCTACACATTTTGGGAATATCTGAGTTCCTAAGCACATGATCCCTTCAGTTAGATCCACTGAAGAATTCCTCGCCGAGGTGCAGCAAGCCCTCCAAGCGAACGGCCCAGTCGTTGCGCTCAGGATCCAAACCCATATGGGAATGACACGCCAGGCCTCAGCCACAGCTGTCAATAACGTTGCTGGAGATGTTCTTCGACTAAAAACAATGCCACTTAGTGATACCGTATAATTCCGTATAATTCCGTATAATTGTATACATCCATCAATTTAACACTCTTGCTAGTGATATCAGTGGTGGCGAGAACCTCCAGACCATGGTTACAAAACATGACCAAACCACGGGTTACCTCGTCATTCGGCTGGTTCTGTGTGGCCCGGCAGGCATGAACCACCATGGAACTTCCCTTGGTCGGCGTTCCCAGGAACACATGCGCCAGTTCGGCAGTAGATGCCACCTGCGGGGGACTCACGTGGCCTTACAGCAACACTTCAGAAGGAGCAAACCAATGCATGCCGTAAATATTCATATATCATACATTACTGCACATACTATATACGATGATATGCGAGTTGAGTATATATGATCTTCTTTGAATTGGTTCATACAATTTCATTAAAACATATTTAGTCTAAATATTACAGTACATAGAGGGTTCTGAAAATGCTGTCTTCCTCCAATTCGAGCAACGCTGGGATCAAGGCGGTCAAACCCCGAACATATGTCTGTGAACACGCATCGATGTGTAAGTATATAGACAGTACAGATATATACACATGAAGAGATATTAAGAAAGTGCATTCAAGAAATTTGAGCCCATGATAGCTGTAGCCAGAGCCGGCTTTTAAGGGCAAACTGCCGCGCGAAATCTCTTGAGGGCGATTCATACATGGATATCTGGTGGCAGCGTGTCCACAATGTGGAAATCATTTGGAAGGCAATCTGCGGCAATCTCGATATGTCTCTGCGTCACTTCATCTCATACTCGCACCAATGCCCAGTAACCATGCTTGGAATCCTATCCGCAGCCCGCCACGGGAAGTCTGATACGGTCAGAACCCGAAGTGGGCTTAGATGGGATGATATTTTTTGATCAAATGCAACTCCTATGCAAAATGAACCTATCACATTGTGGGGTTAGCACTTTACGTGTAGAAGTTGTATGAACTTTCATAATATGAATTTGAGGAAATATAACACGGTAATATACCACAGCAATATTACACACATAATAACCAGGGGCCATCATTGTGGGGTTACCCTCAAAAAACCTCACCAAATGTGATATTTTTGTTTATTCCAGGCCACAAATCAGCTCGACAACCACCCCTGCCCAAAGAGCCACCGGCGGAAGACGTTGAAGCTGAAACTCTTCTGACAGCCTCGGCTGCAGCACCGGGCAGCACAGCATGGGCCCAATCCCATAAATCTTTTTAGTGTTCAAATAACACCCACTCAACAACCATTTCAGTCCTTGACTACAAATTGAATAGCTGTTGCTATTCAATCTTCATTGTTTTTTGATCATATTGTATATGTGCCTGATATTAGTCGTTTCATATTGTTTCACCATTTTCTATATATTTGTTATCTTAGTTTAACCCCCATTTTCTAGCCACATCTAGTGGTGTATAATCGCCCATTTCGCTCATGCGTTGCTGGTGAGGAGCTGCTCCACTTCCAACAGACAGGGCGCAGCAGGGCCGAGATCACGCGAGGAGGTCACCTGCAATGTAGGAGTTATTGACCAAGTTTTTTTTTCAGTTTATTATGTAGTATCTATGTGTATTATATATAATAAAAAGTAAATATATGTATATATATATTATATCATATAGATATAAGTACATTAGTATTAATATATGTAACTATGTATGTTATGTCTGTCTGTCTATCTATTTACCTGCCTAACCTATCTATCTGGATATCTAACCTATAATCTAATCTATAATCGAATCTATAATCTAATATAATTTATCTAATCTATCTAATCTATCTAATCGTATCCAATCTATCTAATCTATTTAATCTATCAAGTCTAAGTCTATCAAATCTATCAAATCTATCAATTCTATCTATCTATCTATCTATCTGTCTATCTATTTATCTATCTATCTATGTATCTATCCATCCATCCATCCATCTATCTATCCATCCATCCATCCATCCATCTATCTATGCATGTACGTAGGTATGTAAGTATGTATCATTCATTATGATTAATTGATACTCATTGTGTATCCATTTATGCCTTGAGGATCTTTGAGAATAACCTTGTGATGGCCAACCTTCTTTCATTTTCAGGCAGAGATCGTAGCGTTTGTCGCAGCTGGGTTTATGATATGTCCTCATTGATAGCAACAAAGGGAGCTGTATTGACACGTTAACCCACCAGTCAGCAGGGTTTGCCCAGTAACGAGCTACTCACCAATGACAGGTAGAATCCACCAACAACTTGAAAAACAGTCGGGAATCCAAAGCTTTGAAGGCATGGGACACACGACCAAGTGCTAGACATACAAAATCTTCTGCAAATTCTTTACACGAGTCATGCCTGGTTCCAACCCATCCATTAATATCACATTCTTATCAGTGAACTGGGATGGTCATCTAGGTAGGTTGGAACCACTACAGCAACATCTCTGAAATCTCCAGCCAGGCTTGATAGCTCCCCAGGCCGTGGGAATATGACTTGTCCAAATGGGTCTTTGGTTCCTCCTATTTCTAACTATTTCTTTGTTTCTTCTTCCCTGATGGTACCTCCGATGTCAAATTCCATGTACTGTATAGCTCGACAGACTCGTAGTGTAGCATACTAGTAGAGCTGCAGCACTTTCAGGCTGCTTGGTTTTTTTTGCACATCCCTGAAAGAAATATCACTGAGCGATCTGAACAGTTATTTCAGTTGAGAGTTGAAGCATAAACATAGCAATCCAGTTTTAGTTTTGCCCAGTTTCTCAGTTTCATGGACAAAAAACACTCAAACCCCTGGTGCTGAGCCACCCACCTCCCGCCAGCCGTGTCGCAAGGAAAAGTGAGAGTAGCCTGAGGGAAGCTTAGATGGCACCTCTGGATGTTGCAGAGGTAAGAAGTCACGGTACTTGGACCCACAAGTGCTGGCAAAAACCCTCCGCTTTTTGATCTGGTTTAAGTGTCCATAATTTTGACCCACAACATATGCGAAGCCAATAATTACAAAGAACATCAATGAACCATGAGGAACCATGGGTGGCATAGGGTCAAACTTAGGGAATTCAAGAAAGAACAGCGATTGACGTGCCCTTGGGTGCCCCCGCTGGGTTCGACTGCTGCGCGACTACCAGGTGTAACCAAGACCACCTGAAAACGCGTGAAATCGAGGCAGAAGTGGTACAACTTCTTTGCCGCGACATGGGAGCAACAATAATTAATGAGGAGACCCTAGCAATGAAAACATGCAATTCATTCATGTGTGTATAATTAGGTATCATTACAATAATTAGCATGTTTCCTTTCATCTAGCCCTGAAATAACCGATATCTAGGTAAACATACCATGATTCATGGGGTTGACAATGAAATGATCATCAATAAAAATATATTAAAATGGCTATGGGAGTGTCAACAAACTAAGTGTACCTTTTATCTGGCTAGATGAAAACCAATATACCAGTCATACCCCGAAATATCCCTTCGTCATGACATGTATCATGTATATGTCAACCCAATGTCAAACCTGAATTTATACTCTCCTATGTAGTTGGATTAATTTTGGGTTCGATATAAACAATATATGATCATAACTTAACAATACTTAACATAACATAACCATACATGATCATTTCTTGGGTGGCTCATCCCACTAAATCTGTCAGCCAGGTTTTATGAAAATTCAGGGTTGACATGTAGGTACACTATGGCTCAAAATATAGTGGTTTATACTACAAATTGGGGCACACCACTGTTGTATGTTTGTTTGGTTTGACAATGCCCACTGTTAGATCTCTCCACCGTAGATCCTATAAGATCCTATAATTATATAGTTACAAACCATCAGAAACCAGCGGAATTTTCATCATCCAAATCAAGTCTTAATCCCCAATGTTGTTGACCAATTTCCCAATTCGGTCGTCTAATCCCAACTTTTTTTCGTTGCATTCTTTGCTTCACGGCACCTCGATGGCCCCGAAGTTGCGCAACTTCGCTTCCATGGCTCGCAGCCTCTGATGCACCTGTCAATGATGAAACCACGAATCATGGTTATCTAATGTTATCTATTTCTACATTTCTACATATATTTGGATCCATAGTGCATATTATTCAATGATATACATATTTACATATATATGTGCATGTGGTTACTGTAATATATCTTTCTATGGTTATTGTACACATATATATATAATATCACTTGTATTTTTATATTTCAGCGATAGGAGGGCCGAGAAATGAGCATATATACAACATATACAGCAACATTTAGACATGTAGCTATATATATATATACAGTATGATTACTGTATAATCAAATTGGCGATCATCATTTTTGCCTCTCGCGAGAGGTAAACTGTTTGAATTGGTGGTGTGGGATGCCAAAAAATGTTCATGAAACTCATGCTGCCAGCTTTGGATGACTGCTTGGCAGCAATTTTGAGGACAATTTCATGATGCCAGCAGTTCATGATGCTAGTTACCACAACGCTCATCCAATGATTCCAGTCCAAATTTGTTCCCCCAAAAAAACTGCATGGCTAACGGTCCCAAAAAATCGTCTTTGTCAAAATCTATCAAAATCTCAAGTTAACTGGGTCTTACGTCTTACATCCCATTTTCATCCATACAACCAGTGCCTGATCCACGTCGACGGAGTCCAACACAATGATGTGCAAACGACCTGCTAGAGCATGGGAGCTGGTACTCTGTAAGATTTTTGTTTTCTGAGATGTGATGGATACCCCGAGGCAACAAAACATGGTTTGCTGGAAAACAAACACGTTCATTTCTATGTATATATAATTATATGTAATATATGTCTCATACTTATCTACGTGTACTATGCTGTGTATGAATATTTTTTGGGAACTTTCTATCGCCATGCTTACTTAAGCAAGAGATGTGTTTACCACTACAGAGTGTATTGCGCAGCCATGCTGCTGGTACCAAATCATCATCACTTCAGTAGTCAACAAAACGTAGCCTATTCAAAAACTACACAGAAAAGGGCACTTGTTCTTGCACTTTACTCTTCAGTAATACCCAACAGCCTCAGGTCATTAGCCTATATTAGCCTGTTATAAAGTCCCCGCGCCTGGTGATTTGGCGTCATCGATGGCCTCCTTCTTTTCGTCGAAACCCAAGGACAGATTTGGGCTGCCTGGCAGCTCTCTTCAGGATGGAGAATACTTGGCCCGAAGCAAAATTTATTACGGGCACTCAAAAGCCTGAATCGTTTAATAATTTTGACTGGTGTCATGTATTGTGGTTTGATTTGGTGTGTGTTCTTTTTTTGCTTTCTGGATCGCGCACAGTTTATGGGTGCCATTATATTGTTAGCAGAAAATGCTACTTGGAAAGCGGATGCACATTGAAACTGAATACAATCGTGAAAACAGAGGAGGAGCCCAGATTTGGATTTCTGATGATAGTACCACACAGACGACTCATTCTTACTTGGCTGCTACAATTCAATCCAACACCCAACTATTGTATACTATTGTACCAACTCTCATATCCATTCACGAAATTAGTGTCATCCCCAAACCCAATGCTGGCTGGAGCGTGGGGGTCTCCCAGGTTGACGAACGGATCAACACTTGGCAGTCAATGACTTAGACGATGTTTCAATGACTTGGACAATGTTTCATACATCTGCGTATGTCAATCGGTCAATTGGACTCCATCGTCTGTGCATCTCTAATTGAAGCATCAAACCTTTTCGTTCCAAGGTGGAGCCACCCATTCCAGAATTCCTGGCCAAAAAATTCGTCATCATCCCAAGTAGGACAACATCAAGCCAAGAAACGAACCAAAGTGAAACCATCAACCAGGTTTGGATCGGAAAAAAACCTACCACTAACCTGATTTGGATCTATTTGGATTACACATCATCCGCACATCCGCCAAAAAAAATCCACCAACAGGTCCCCAAACTTCCACCGATTTCCACCGAGGTGCTTAGGTATTCCTCCAGCGCCTTGCTGTGCGGCAAGACCTTGGCCGAGCCTTGCCATACCTCAGGCGAAAACCAGAGCCAACACTCACCATCGAATGACTAGTGACCACAGATCCACTTACAACCCGTAATGTGGTAAAATCAGGTATCACGGTATCAAGTGAAAGTAGTTGAGACTACAACATACTACAACCTGTTTTTCAATAACATGTGCCCATGTAATGCCCAAGCCACACTCATGGTGCCAGCCACTGCGACACCAGGGTTACGAAAGCGCCACCTGAGGGGCAAAACACAGAAAACTCAGAAAATCCCTGAGGCTGAAGGTGAAGGAATCTGGAAAACCGTCAAAACCCCATGCATTTGCCTTGATGTTTCGATCCTAATCTTAATCTATGTTCTCAGCTAGCCAGTTAGATACCTTTTTCATCCTTTTTCCACTAAATCATTGTTGCAAACTCGGATTGTTTCCCTCCCAAAAAATGCCAGGGATTGTTTGGATGTCCCAACTCCGAAAATAGACTTGCAAATAGAAATCGCCATCTCAGAATATCAGATACCTAATGACACAACAAGACTCAAACATGATTCTTTTGCAGCAAAAATAAAAACTCGGACGCACAACGATTTGTCAAACGTGTCCAGCCATTCATGTGCTTTTATCCTTTCCTCTTGGAAAATCAGGGTTTGGGCGCCCAATCTTCTGACCCAGTTCAATCCCCAGAAATACTTGGATCTTGACATACTGTGAACACGCGCAAACCAATCAAAAAATGGAGATTTGTAGCTTAAACACTTACACAAGTCAATCATCCATGGAACTGGTAAATACCCTAATAATTAGATATAATTAGCCTAAGCTATCAAAATCACAAAAGTTCAACCCTCCACCATTTTCCCGGCTCCCACGGCACCCCACGGCACCTGGCTCCCATGATCCCCGGCCCCTGCGTTGCCACCGCCAGGTGGGAGCTGCCGCTAACACCGCAGGCGCGGTAGCTGCGCCGCACGAAGACTTCCAAGGCGCGGCCCCGCAGCACGGCGTCCGAGTCGCTGAAGAGCGACAGCAACAGATTGCCTAAGGATGGGATGTGGATGGAATTCATCGATATCAATCATTATAAAATCATGAATAATCCCATGTCATGCCATGAAATGCTGGTTGGTTAAGGGTTAGATGATGTTAGATATCTGACGATATTTTTTTGAAGACATTGGGTAGTATAACCCCTAGGATCATCAACCGAGAGGGGTCTTGGGCGCTTGGTCGGACTACATGGGATTCATGGGGTGCGGTTGTCCCGCCACGACTGGGGAATCCGTCGAACGGGGGATCCCATAGTTTCTATATACCAATAGTTGGGATCCCAATGAATGTGATGAACCCAACGACATAACATAAACCTGCAAATCTGAAGGGTGCATACTACCTATCTGGTGAAATTGGGGATGGTTTATTGATTGGAAGATGGGATTAGGGGTGGGATCAGGTACCCCCAAACAATTCGTTTTCCTATTAGAACTCAGCAATTTCACCAAATTTGGATGATCACTTGGTTTCCAGCATTTTCACACACTCACTTGAGCAGTGTTCAAAAATCCGAAACGTCATTACATGAAATGCTGGCTGGTTAAGAACGGAATTCCCAGTTCATTGGTGATGATCATCCCCAATATTTTTGGGTATCCTTCTAATGGGCATATCCAAGCCTACTAATGACTATAATATGTACTATAATTATAATGGATTGATGAACACTCCTGACCATTGGTGCCACCCACGTCCAAGAATCCTCCAGCAGCTTGAGCGGACCAGGTGGAAATCTTTCCAGCCTGGGCGCCGTGCCCAAATGGTTTAGTCCCAAACATCGGGAATGGGGGCCAAATGTGTAGCAATTTCAACGGGGACACTGATGATATGGGTATATATATATATACAGGGATTTGGGGATTCCATATTTGGAGACATCACCAGTTGATCCCTCATGGTTGTTGCCGAACAAATGAAAATCCCTATTGCCACATAAACTCTGTCCCACGGACAATCTTAGATATCTTAGATATACCTCTGTTGCTTTTCGAGGACTGAACAGGACCTGCCTACTTGCTGCGGATCATGCTTTCTACTTTGATGTTTCAAAAGTGTTGCTTTGCATTTCCAAGCTCCACCCTATCACGACATGAATTGTATTACTGTATACATATATATATATGTATATATATATATATACTGTAATATAATCGGTTGGTATCAGCCTGCCAGGTAGTTAGGGATGATGGAACACAGGAACATGCGAGTTTCGAAACTGCGGTTTGGTATTGGATGTGGTATGGGGAAGCACCGGAAATTCTCCACTTTGGGAAAAATGAACCACCCGTCCCAAGATTACAAGTAGTAGTCCCTACGTTGCAGACCTAACAAAGGCCTTAGTTCCGAGGAACAAGTATGTACTCACTATGAACAGCACAGTACCCCAGTGAACAACAGCAATGCTCACAATGCCGCAATGCAAGGATATACCCCGGAGCCGGTGCAGGAATCATGGTCCCACAGGATAAGCAGTCGTTGGTCCTGTAAGGTTATTGAAGTTCTGTGGAGCAGCTGAATTAGTTCCCAGAAGAAGATCAACAACATCCAAAAAGCTTCATCCAGAAAAAATCATAAGACTCCGCAAAAGAGGAACCCAGTGATCCAATACTAGACCTGTGCACCCTTTCAGTATTGCCTATGTGTTTTTAACAACCAAACATAGTTTCCAAAGGTTCCATGTATGGGACGGGTTCTAGGTATGTATATATATATAAATACCGCATATAGATATGCATAGATTCCCTTTATACCCAAATATGGGTATATATGCGTTATGTCTGGGGAACATGTTGGTAGACAAGACATATTGGGGGCATTTTGGGGTCGGCCACGTCCCGTCATCTGTTTTTTGTGGGTTGGGCCGGCTTTGACGACAAGTCACTGACAATTCCTTCTTGCTGCCACTGTCCTGCGGCATTCCATGCAGTTGATGAACCAGAAAATTTGGGGAATATCAATGGTTGTTCAGAATAGACGGTTTCGACAACTAGATCCCAACTGATCTTTCAATGAGCCAAGTTGACAATATGAGAAGATCCACCACTCTCATTACAATCATTACAGCCCGGAAGCCAAACGCTAGCATCCAGCAGTCTTCCATAATCCTGTTTGATACCACGGGTACACAGTCAAAGTTCCTCATGACACAATGTTTAAAGCCAATGGCTGTGGTGCCGTCTGTTACATCTCAAGTATTGATGATACATCATAGAATATGTTATTGGAAAGGACAAAGACATCAAATGCAGCAAGCTCGCGCAACCACAACTATGTTCTATTGTTCTGAAGCCCCACCTGACGATAAGACATGCCATTCACCAAATGGTTATGTTTCTACAGTAGATGAAGTTCTCATCGAAAGTAGTTGATCGAAACTGCAGAAAGGCATACCCTGTTTTTCATACTTTGGTAGATCTGTACATTTAATTCAGACATGTTGCACCAATTGACATGTCACTGAACCCTTTTACCAACTGCAGTCGACGTAGCTGCCCTTTTGAAGCTCAAACACTCGAGCTGCTGCCGTGAAAACAGAGAAGGCGGCTGCTTGCAACGTGGACGAGGTGCGGAGAACCTGGAATTTGGGACCTGGACATTTCCAGGTTATGAGCCCAAGCGGTTCACTGGGCAGATGAGTGAGTTCCATAGGAGAAGGGCCACCAAAGAAGAGATGGAGCAGGGTCAAAAGGAGATAAGACTAGCTGATGAAAGAATGAAAACAAAGGCTGAGAGTAGGGGTGAGATGCCTATACAAAACGGACCTGAAGAAAAACCTGAGGATGTTGTAGAAGGGGAAACGTCTCCACCGAAAGAGGGTAAGAGAGATGAACCTCAAAGAGGTACCCCTGCAAGGAATTCCAATCAGGGTTCAGGTGCCAAAGCGTTGTTGCCGCCTACACAACCTCCTCCTGATCCTCCTGCCCTTTCTCTACGTCAAGAGGTGGTGAACTCCCTTGAGAAGAATACGCCCGCCGACAAGGGTGAAGGCAACTTCAATGGTGGACCTTTGATGAGGGAGATTGCAACTCCCCCTGAACAACAAGCAGGAGATGATGCAAACCAAGTGCAAGGGCAATCCATGGCACCCCCGTTGTTCACCGAGGAGCAGCTGAGAAACTTTGCTGCACTGCAGGGACAAGCCGCATGGATGTATGGGCCCCAACAGTCGTTTTTCAATCCAATTGGTTTTTCACGTCCTTCATTTTTGGATGGAGATGCAGCCAGAGCTTCAGTGAGTCAACATGAAAGAGACATGGAGTTTCTGAGAATGCAAGCAGTGAGAGACCGAGAGGAGAAAGACGAATGTAGAAGGCAGATTCAACTGTTGGTAGAAGAGAACCGTCAGTTGAGAGCCAGGTTTGAAAGTGCTAGCAAGATGCAGACTGAGGATGAACCTAGGTTTGCGACTCCTGAGGAACAGCCGGATCAGACCAGCCCAGGTTTCGACATGGATGTGGATTGGTTGAAGCGGCGAAAGGAGGCTGACAGACCCCCATCAAAGGAGGCTGACAGACCCCCATCAAAGGAGGCTGACAGACCTCCATCAAAGGAGGCCGACAGACCCCCATCAAAGGAGGCTGCCAGACCCCCATTCCTACCTGAGGCTGCAGAGTTCAAAACCCCCAAGGAGGCTGCCAGACCCCCAAAGGTGGAAGCATCACAGCGTCCCCAAGAAGAAGGAAGCCGAGGTGCACCTGGTGGAGGGAATGCGCAGTTCACTGAGAAATCTTTGGAGTTCATGGTGATTATGATGGAAACTATGAAGGACCTACACAAGAAGGTCAACGAGACAAAGGATGAGACTGGCATGGTTCGAGGAGTTGAGATTGTGAGGTCCGGCACTCCTGACCTGCCGGTGTTGACCCCCTGGTCACCAAGCCAGGGTCCCCTCCAGTTGGGAGATTGGCTTCTGACTGTGGAGCCGATCATAGCTGATTTGTCAGCAACTTCAGAAGTGTGGTGGTCGCTGATGGTGAAGTCTGCAGAGCAGTGGTACCAGAAGCACATGATGATGCCCCCACTAGATCGAGTTCAACATGAAGTTCAACCGCCCCCAGAGGTCACCTTGGAAAAATGGTCCAGGTTGGAAAGAAGAACGGCATCGATGCTGCTTCAATCTGTGCCGGAGGTGGTCAAGGAGGAGTTGGTTTCAGCTCGACGGCTGAGCGTTTTTGGGATTTTGACGCAACTGCTGTTGACGTATTGCCCAGGTGGTGTCTTGGAGAAGCAGACATTGCTGAGAAGTTTGGAGGAGCCAACAGAGGTCACCACGGTGGGCGAGGCTCCTGCTGCAATACGTCGGTGGCTACGTTGGAAGCTGCGGTCCCAGGAGATCGGTGCAGTGACCCCAGACCCGGCACTGTTGTTGAAAGGTCTGAACAAGTTAACACGCCGAGTCCTGGAGTCCAACAAAGAACTACAATTCAGGGTCAGCCTGGCCCGAAATTCCCTTGGTGTGGATACGAGGCCGACCGACACCACAGTCAGCCAGTTTGCCACGCACCTTTTGGCTGAGATCGAACAAGTTGCTCTTTCCGAAAAGAGGGCCACTGCTGCGATGCCAAAGGGCGAGGTGAAGATCAAATACTTGGACGCAGACAAGAACAAGCCAAAGACTAAAGAGAGGTCTACAGAGGAGGACAAGCCGAAGCCAAAATGCAGGTTTTTTCTCACGGATGCTGGTTGCAAAAGGGGAAAGGAGTGCACGTTTAGCCATGATGTCAAAGATGATCGTCGCAGGTGTTACAACTGCGGCAGTGTGGACCACCTTTCCCCAAGCTGCACCAGGTCAAAAGGCGCTTCTACCGAAACAAGCCCCAACAAGCCGAGGGTTGCCAAGGCCGAGGGGGAGGAGCGCAATGTGACTTCACCAATGAAGGAGTCAGAGACTGGAAGCCAATCTAGTCAAGGGGAGGCAGTGAAGGACTTGCTGGAGGAGGCCAACCGGATGTTGAAGTCTCTGTCGAGCTCTTCCAACACTATTGCTTCTACAACCTCTTCGACGTCTGAAGAAGAGCGAAAAGATGTGATGGAGCGCCTTCATCAGCAGCTGAAGTCGATGAAGACGTTCAAGATGAAGAGACTCAATGTTGGGAACGACGTTGGACTTGTGGATTCAGGTGCAACACATCCACTTCGTCCTAGACATGAAGGCGAGAATGTGGATTTGTACCCGGTGGTGGAGGTGGCATTGGCAGATGGAAGGACGGTGAGGTTGAAGATGTCCCCTGGAGGTGCTATGATATCACCTTCACCTGCCATCGAGCCTATCATCCCCATGGGCTTGTTGTCGCAGAAGCTGAACTGTGACATTTCCTGGAAGCAAGGATCTATGCAGATCCACCATCCTCTGAGAGGAGAAATCAAGGTGATGATGAAGGGAAGTTGCCCCCATGTTGCCAGATCTGAGGCTTTGACGTTGATTGCGGAGCTGGAGGACATCAAGATGGGCATTCCCAATGAGATTGGAAGTTTTGATGCGGAAGTGGCATGGCTGAGAAAGCTGGTGTCGCAACATCCAGTGCTGTCTTCACTCCCAGAGCACATCAAGGAGCGGCTGGTGGTGGAGCCTGGAACTTGGTCTGATCTTCCAGGCAACAGACACTCAAGAAAGCGCTGGAAGAGGAGTGGCTTAGCAGTTCATTTGTATGCTGGGCCAGAAACAGGGTTCACTTTGCGGCATGCCATCAAACAGCTGGGTGGTTCTGTCGATGCCTTGTTGGAAGTTGATGTTCAACGAGGAGAACAACATGACATGCTGTCGGACCACGCAGTTTATCGTGGTCTGTTGAGGGTGGCTTTGGAGGGAAAGATCAATGCGATCGTTGGTGGGCCAAACTGCAGGACGAGAAGCTTGCTGAGGCACATCCCCATTCCAGGGCAGCCTAGTGCCCCGAGGCCGATTCGCCGCTGGGGAGGTGAGGAGTTTGGTATTCATGATGCAACAGAAGAGGAGAAACAGAAGCTTCATGAAGACGATGTTTTGATGTGGCGTTTTTGGTTTTTGTTCCCGAGAGCGCCTGCGAAGGGTTCTTCGTAAAAAAGCAGCCGTTATACTACATCTTCACACCTCCACATCTGCTGATCTACATCTTCACACCTTCACACCTGCAGATCTAGATCTTCACAACTTCACACCTGCAGATCTAGATCTTCACACCTTCACACCTGCAGATCTAGATCTTCACACCTTCACACCTGCAGATCTAGATCTTCACACCCTCACATCTGGACATCTAGATCTTCATACCTTCACACCTGCAGATCTAGATCTTCACCCTCACACCTGCAGATCTAGATCTTCACACCCTCACATCTGCAGATCTAGATCTTCACACCTTCACACCTGCAGATCTAGATCTTCACACCCTCACACCTGCAGATCTAGATCTTCACACCCTCACACCTGCAGATCTAGATCCTCACACCCTCACATCTGCAGATCTACATCATCACATCCTCACATCTGCAGATCTACATCTTCACACCCTCACATCTGCAGATCTACATCATCACACCCGCACACCTGCAGATCTAGATCTTCACACCCTCACACCTGCAGATCTAGATCTTCACACCTTCACATCTGCAGATCTCTTCTCGCTCTTCGTCTATTCTCTCTTAAGGCGGGGGCGGTGCCGCCGGAGCGCCACGAAACGCAACCCTTTCGCACGAAATGGACGTTGGACGTCCAAAACCTAGGTAAAATTGCGATTTTGAAGCGTCGGCGGCAACCCTTTCGCACGAAATGGACGTTGGACGTCAAAAACTGAGGAAAAATTGCAACTTTGAGGTGTCGCGCGCAACCCTTTCGCACGAAATGGACGTTGGACGTCAAAAACTGAGGAAAAATTGCAACTTTGAGGTGTCGCGCGCAACCCTTTCGCACGAAATGGACGTTGGACGTCAAAAACTGAGGAAAAATTGCACCTTTGAGGTGTCGCGCGCAACCCTTTCGCACGAAATGGACGTTGGGCGTCAAAAACTGAGGAAAAATTGCAACTTTGAGGTGTCGCGCGCAACCCTTTCGCACGAAATGGACGTTGGACGTCAAAAACTGAGGAAAAATAGCGACTTTACTTTGTCAATCGCAACCCTTACGCACGAAATGGACGTTGGACGTCAAAAACTGAGGAAAAATTGCGACTTTACTTTGTTATTCGCAGCCCTTATGCACGAAATGGACGTTGGACGTTAAAAACTGAGGTAAAATTGCCATGGACGCTTTCGTTTGTGTAAAAGTGCCTGTGTGTAAAAGCGTCTGTGTGTAAAAGCGTCTGTGTGTAAAAGCGTTTGTGTGTGAAAGTGTGTGTGCGTGTGTAAAAAGCATCTGCGTGTAAAAGCGTCTGTGTGTAAAAGCGTCTGTGTGTAAAAGCGTTTGTGTTTCAAAGTGTCTGTGTAAGTGTCTGTTGTGTGTAAAAGCGTCTGTGTAAAAGCCTCTGTGTAAAAGCGTCTGTGTGTGAAAGTTTTGTTTCTGTGTAAGAGCGTCTGTGTGTAAAAGCTTCTGTGTGTAACAGCTTCTTTGTGTAAAAGTGTCTGTGTGTAAAAGTGTCTGTGTGTAAAGGAGTCTGTGTGTAAACGCTTCTGTGTGTGAAAGTGTTTGTGTGTAAAAGGGTCTGTGTGTAAAAGCGTCTGTGTGTAAAAGTGTCTGTGTATAAAAGCTTCTGTCTGTAAAAGCGTTTGTGTGTAAAGGAGTCTCTTTGTAAAGGCTTCTGTGTGTAAAAGCCTGTGTGTGTAAAAGCCTCTTTTCGTAAAAGTGTCTGTGTGTAAAAGTGTCTGTGTGTAAAAGTTTCCGTGTGTAAAAGCCTCTCTGTGTAAAGGAGTCTGTGTGTAAAAGTGTCGGTGTGTAAAAGTGTCTGTGTGTAAAAGCGTTTGTGTGTAAAGGAGTCTCTTTGTAAAGGCTTCTGTGTGTAAAAGCCTGTGTGTGTAAAAGCGTCTGTGTGTAAAAGCCCCTGTGCAAGCATCTGTGTGTAAAAGCCTCTGTGTGTGTGTGTGTAAAAGAAAAGCGTGTGTGTGTGTGTGCGTGTGTGTGTAAAAGCTTCTGTTGGTAAAAGTGTCTGTGTGTAAAAGTCTCTATGTAAAAGCCTCTGTGTGCAAGAGCGTCTGTGTGTAAAAGTGTCTGTGTGTAAAAGCTTCTGTGTCTAAAAGCGTCTGTGTGTAAAGGAGTCTGTGTGTAAAAGCTTCTGTGTAAGAGCGTCTGTGTGTAAAAGCTTCTGTGTGTAACAGCTTCCTTGTGTAAAAGTGTCTGTGTGTAAAAGTGTCTGTGTGTAAAAGGGTCTGTGTGTAAAAGTGTCTGTGTGTAAAAGCGTTTGTGTAAAAGTGTCTGTGTAAAAGAGTTTGTGTGCAAAAACTTCTGTGTGTAAAAGCGTCTGTGTGTAAAAGCCTCTGTGTAGTAGCCTCTGTGTGTGAAAGTGTGTGTGTGTGTAAAAGCGTCTGTGTGTGTGTAAAAGCGTCTGTGTGCAAAAAGCGTCTGCGTGTAAAAGCGTCTGTGTGTAAAATTGTCTGTGTGTAAAAGGGTCTGTGTGTAAAAGCGTCTGTGTGTAAAATCGTCTGTGTGTAAAAGCGTCTGTGTGTAAAAGCGTCTGTGTGTAACAGCTTCTTTGTGTAAAAGTGTCTGTGTGTAAAAGTGTCTTTGTGTAAAAGGGTCTGTGTGTAAAAGCGTCTGTGAGTAAAAGCTTCTGTGTGTAAAAGCGTTTGTGTGTAAAAGCGTCTGTGTGTAAAGGAGTCTGTGTGTAAAAGCTTCTGTGTAAGAGCGTCTGTGTGTAAAAGTGTCTGTGTGTAAATGCGTCTGTGTGTAAAGGCGTCTGTGTGTAAAGGTGTCTGTGTGTAAAAGCTTCTGTGTGTAAAAGCGTCTTTGTGTAAAAGCGTTTGTGTGTAAAAGCGTCTGTGTGTAAATGTCTCTGTGTAAGCGTTTGTGTGTAAAAGCCTCTGTGTGTGAAAGTGTGTGTGTGTACAAGAAAAGCGTGTGTGTGTGTATGTGTGTGTGTGTGGGTGTAAAAGCTTCTGTGTGTAAAAGTCTCTGTGTAAGCGTCTGTGTGTAAAAGCCTCTGTGTGTGAAAGTGTGTGTGTGTAAAATAAAAGCGTGTGTGTGTGTGTTTGTGTGTAAAAGTGTCTGTGTGTAAAAGTGTCTGTGTGTAAAAGTGTCTGTGTGTAAAAGCGTTTGTGTGTAAAGGAGTCTCTTTGTAAAGGCTTCTGTGTGTAAAAGCCTCTGTGTGTGAAAGTGTTTGTGTGTAAAAGCATCTGTGTGTAAAAGTCCCTGTGCAAGCATCTGTGTGTAAAAGCCTCTGTGTGTGTGTAAAAGAAAAGCGTGTGTGTGTGCGCGTGTGTGTGTGTAAAAGCTTCTGTTGGTAAAAGTGTCTGTGTGTAAAAGTCTCTTTGTAAAAGCCTCTGTGTGTAAGAGCGTCTGTGTGTAAAAGTGTCTGTGTGTAAAAGCTTCTGTGTCTAAAAGCGTCTGTGTGTAAAGGGGTCTGTGTGTAAAAGCTTCTGTGTAAGAGCGTCTGTGTGTAAAAGCTTCTGTGTGTAATAGTTTCTTTGTGTAAAAGTGTCTGTGTGTAAAAGTGTCTGTGTGTAAAAGGGTCTGTGTGTAAAAGCGTCTGTGTGTAAAAGCGTTTGTGTAAAAGTGTCTGTGTAAAAGTGTTTGTGTGCAAAAACGTCTGTGTGTAAAAGCGTCTGTGTGTAAAAGCCTCTGTGTAGTAGCCTCTGTGTGTGAAAGTGTGTGTGCGTGTGTAAAAGGGTCTGTGTGTGTGTAAAAGCGTCTGTGTGCAAAAAGCGTCTGCATGTAAAAGCGTCTGTGTGTAAAATTGTCTGTGTGTAAAAGCGTCTGTGTGTAAAAGTGTCTGTGTGTAACAGCTTCTTTGTGTAAAAGTGTCTGTGTGTAAAAAAAAAAAAAAAAAAAAAAAAAAAAAAAAACAACAAAAACTGAAAACAAAACAAACAAAAAAAAAAAGTGTGTGTGCGTGTGTAAAAGGGTCTGTGTGTGTGTGTGTAAAAGCGTCTGTGTGCAAAAAGCGTCTGCATGTAAAAGCGTCTGTGTGTAAAATTGTCTGTGTGTAAAAGCGTCTGTGTGTAAAAGCGTCTGTGTGTAACAGCTTCTTTGTGTAAAAGTGTCTGTGTGTAAAAGTGTCTGTGTGTAAAAGGGTCTGTGTGTAAAAGCGTTTGTGAGTAAAAGCGTCTTTGTGTAAAATCGTCTGTGTGTAAAAGCGTCTGTGTGTAAAAGCGTCTGTGTGTAAAAGCGCCTGTGTGTAAAAGCTTCTGTGTGTAAAAGCCTCTGCGTGTAAGAGCTTCTGTGTGTAAAAGCCTCTGTGTGTGTGAAAGTGTTTGTGTGTAAGAGCGTGTGTGTGCGTAAAAGCGTCTGTGTGTAAAAGCGTCTGTGTGTAAAAGCTTCTGTGTGTAAAAGCGTTTGTGTGTAAAGGAGTCTCTGTGTTAAAGCGCCTGTGTGTAAAAGCTTCTGTGTGTAAAAGCGTTTGTGTGTAAAAGCGTCTGTGTGTAAAGGAGTCTGTGCGTAAAAGCTTCTGTGTAAGAGCGTCTGTGTGTAAAAGTGTCTGTGTGTAAATGCTTCTGTGTGTAAAGGCGTCTGTGTGTAAAGGAGTCTGTGTGTAAAAGCTTCTGTGTGTAAAAGCGTCTTTGTGTAAAAGCGTTTGTGTGTAAAAGCGTCTGTGTGTAAAAGTCTCTGTGTAAGCGTCTGTGTGTAAAAGCCTCTGTGTGTGAAAGTGTGTGTGTGTGTACAAGAAAAGCGCGTGTGTGTGTGTACGTGTGTGTGTGGGTGTGTAAAAGCTTCTGTGTGTAAAAGTCTCTGTGTAAGCGTCTGTGTGTAAAAGCCTCTGTGTGTGAAAGTGTGTGTGTGTAAAATAAAAGCGTGTGTGTGTGTGTTTGTGTGTAAAAGCTTCTGTGGGTAAAAGTGTCTGTGTGTAAAAGCGTCTGTGTGTAAAAGCGTCTGTGTGTAAAAGCCTCTGTGTGTAAAAGCGTCTGTGTGTAAAAGCGTTTGTGTGTGAAAGTGTGTGTGTGTGTAAAAGCATCTGCGTGTAAAAGCGTTTGTGTGTAAAAGCCTCTGTGTATGACACAGGTTATTTCATTTTATTATGGAAAATCCCACATAAATGGCCCAAAAAGATCGGTACCATGATGCTGTAAATCACACATGTGACAAGACTTCACTAGTGAAATGTCTGCAAACGTTTGCACAAAAAAAAGGTCCAATACCATAATGCAGTAAATGACACGCGTTATCTCATTTTATTCTGGGAATATCCCACAGAAACTATCAAAAAAGCTCGGTACCATGATGCCGTGTATGGCACATGTCATTTCATTTTAGTATGGAAAATCCCACATAAATGGCCCAAAAAAGCTCGGTACCATGATGCTGCGTATGACACATGTTATTTCATTTTATTATGGAAAATCCCACATAATTGGCCCAAAAAAGATCGGTACCATGATGCTGTAAATGACACATGTGACAATACTTCACTAGTGAAATGTCTGCAAACGTTTGCAACAGAGCTCGATGCCATCATGTGCTTGATGTCAAAAACAGAACAGTTTGAGTTCAGGACCATAAAATGTCATATAGAGACACTCTTCAAAAGCTTCTGTGTGTAAAAGCCTCTGTGTATGAAAGTGTGTGTGTGTGTAAAAGCATCTGCGTGTAAAAGCCTCTGTGTGTAAAAGCGTCTGTGTGTAAAAGGGTCTGTGTGTAAAAGTGTCTGTGTGTAAAAGTGTCTGTGTGTAAAGGAGTCTGTGTGTAAAAGCTTCTGTGTGTAAAAGCATCTGCGTGCAAAAGCGTCTGTGTGTAAAAGCGTCTGCGTGCAAAAGTGTCTGTGTGTAAAAGCTTCTGTCTGTAAAAGCGTTTGTGTGTAAAGGAGTCTCTTTGTAAAGGCTTCTGTGTGTAAAAGCCTGTGTGTGTAAAAGCCTCTTTTCGTAAAAGTGTCTGTGTGTAAAAGTGTCTGTGTGTAAAAGTCTCTGTGTGTAAACGCGTCTGAAAGTGTTTGTGTGTAAAAGCGTCTGTGTGTAATTTCACAACTTTCCCCTCCATAGCTCATATCAAATTCACCAACCATTCACCGACTATTTTTTACGACTACCATACTCAGAGCTGCTTGAAGGACGTGTTTTTCGCTCTCGGGCCAACCGTCGTCTAGTACATGGTTGCAGTGTACATGAGAAGGGCCAGAAAGGTTGAGACCGAAGTGACCGTCTCTGTGGAGCAGCCAGCAACCCCCAAGGAGTTCATGCCGGAGGTGGTGAGTTGGTGGGATACAAAAGAATGGGCAGAGCTGGCACGAGAGTTCAGCTTTGAGGAATCAACTTTCAAGCAGGGTGAGCTTGGTGGTCTGACCCCGAAGCCAACGACGTTTGGTGGGAGCTTGGAGCTCTACGCAGCTGGTCATCAAAGGAGATGCAGAGCAGGAGAAAGGGTATCTTGCTCGTCCCAGCTTTCGAGATGGGCCCCAGGAGTGATGTCAATGGTCGCCTCAGCTTTGATCAGACAGGTTGAGGGCCCCACTTTTAAAGGGAAAGCTATGTCCTGGAGCGAACATTTGGCTTTCAGGCATGTTCCATACAGGAGAGATTGTCGAGTATGCCAGGAGAGCTCACAACAATGCCCGCCTCATCGACTGGTCAAGGACCCAATTGCTGGAGTGCTTTCAATCGACACAGCTGGTCCACTGAAGCCTGCTTATGATTTGGGTGGGCACATGGCAAGGTATTTTTTGGTTGGAGTTTTGACCTGGAGGGTGCCAAAGGGGAGTGACAAGATGCAGAACCCCCCTGAAGAAGCAGCTTCTGAAGGAGCTCCGGAGATTGAAGAAGGAGCTGAGGATCCAGTTCCACCGGGTGAGGACGGATTGGAAGCTGAGGAGTTGCTTCCAGCCCAGCTCCCTGGTGAAGCGCCGGCTGAAGGAGAGCCTGGCGACGCCCCTGGTGAGGACGGGTTGGAAGGTCATGCAGATCTTCCAGTCCAGCTCCCAGGCGAGACGTTTGGACCCCCAACTTTGGATGAGGTCACAGAGTTGAGAAGGTTCAGAATGGCCTTGCCAATGGGTTCCAAAAAGGCGAGAGATGTGGTGAACACGGTGATGGAGTTCGTGTTGCGGCTGCGGACGGAAGGGTTCCATGTGGGCCGCATCCATTCAGACCAAGGTCATGAGTTTGCTGGCGAGTTCAAGACATGGGCCCGACAGCGTGGGATCTACCTCACCAAAGCACCAGGTGATGATCCAGCCGCAAACGGCAGAGCTGAAATGGCGGTGAAGGACTTCAAGAACCAGATCCGCAGAACGTTGAGGCAGGCCAGTGAAGATGCGAAATGGTGGCCATGGGCTTTGAGGTACGTCAATGAGGTGTACCGATGTGTCCGGATGGAGACAAGACCAAGTTGGCCGAGGTTTTTGGAAGAAGTGAGAGTCCGAAAGCGGACATGGAGGCGGGATGACCTGGACCCCAGAGTGGAGAAGGTTCAGTATCTATGCCCTTCAGTGGAAAACCATGGTCATTGGGGGATCAAAGAAGGCGAAGCCCCACGCCTTACGCGCTACATTTTGGCGCCCACCACTGAGCCGGAGGATGAGACGGTTTGGATTGCGGTGGAAAGAGAAGGGCGAGATGCACAAGAACAGCGACGCCGAATCAGAGGCAGATCAGCAGTGAGGAGAATGGATGCCTCAGTTGCAGATCCTGAGGAGGGGCTGGAAGAAAAGGAAAAGGCTGAAGTTCAAAGATTGATGAAGGTGGTGGAGGATGAGATGCAGTCCATCATCAACGACGACCCAGATCTGGCCGCC